TTTTGTCTTTTTGAAGCAGGGTCTCCCTGTAGCCCCAGCTGTCCTGGAACTCACTACGTAGACCAGTCTGGCCTTGAACTCACAGAGATCAACCTGCCTCTGCCTCTGCCTCCCAAGTGCTGGGACTACAGGCGTGAGCCACCACAGTCAGCTAATTGATAATATTTTAAAACAAATAAATCATTTAACTCAAGACTCTCTCCCCCCTCCCCTCCCCTCCCCTCCCCAAACACACCCGAGGTATACAACACACCATCAGCAACAATGGCTCCCTATATGAGTAACTCCCAAATGAAGTACATCAGACTAAGTTCTCAATAAGTTAAGACACCAATTTAAACCGTCCCCACATGAATGTGGAATATAAGCTTTCAGCATACCATGCGGAATTTGAAGTATACAAATGACAGAAAACTTAAAGCCTTAAAAGTCATTAACACAACTCCTATGCAATAAAACTATAACTTAAGTACCTGTGTTCAGGTTATCTTTTTAAAAAACTGATAGTCCTAAACTATCTCCTGGAAAAAGTATTGACAACTGACAGACCTTTCTGTAACCTCAATAATTTAACAAACTGATCAATTGCACACTACTATTATTAAACTTTTAGCAAGCTACAGAAACCATGTTAAATTCAAGATACCATGTACCAAGCCCCTGCTGTCTCCAAGCACCATGACAGGTATAAGATCATGTAGATACAGAAAAATGTGGACAATGAGAATGAGCCTCTTGCAGGCAGTATCAAACACAGCAGAAAAACATTTATGTTAAACAAAACTTCTCAAATCAAAGTATTTAATGAACACTCAAACTGGCAAAAAGAACTCTTAAATTTACAAGTTTCACAGTTATTTCTTAGATATATTTTTTTTAAATAGAAATATAAACCATTTCCATTTTTTCATAGGTTATCAAGTTTGCAAAAATAATAGAACTATATGGATTTTAACATTCTTCAGAATAAAAGGTTAGTATTCCAAAATACTCATTTGAGAGTGATACAGAGCAATCTGGAGGATGAGGGGTCTAACCCTAGCAGACAACCACCAATTTTAACATTAGCTAACCCTGGATTCCACTAGATATGGCTTACTTGACTCTTTCTAAGCCATCGCTCCTTCTTCAACATTATCTACCTTCAGAGGGTTGATGTGACGATTAATCGGTAATTCCTTGGCACGGTCATCACAACCAGAGGCAGATTTTCAAAAACTAATTGAAGCCTTGTCACATGTGACCCTGTCAGTACTGCTTCAAACTAAGTATTCTACTGAAGAACTAAGAAAGTGTCTATGCGCCTTTTTTTCATTGCAGCTGGTTTGTTTTTTGTCTTTTTGGTTTTTTGAAGCAGGGTCTCCCTGTAGCCCCAGCTGTCCTGGAACTCACTATATAAACCAGGCTGGCCTTGAACTCATAGAGATCCGCCTGCCTCTGCCTCCCAAGTGCTGGGACTACAGGCGTGTGCCACCATGCCCAGCTTATGTACCTATTTTTAACATACATAACTTTTCTGAGTGTTTTAAAATAGCTTTTTTGTATGCATTTTGGAAACTTTTGGTACTAGGAAAAATAGCATCTGTGTAGCTAAAAAACCTGTTTCCCAGTAACTATTACAGAAAAGGTACTTTCTGCTGTACTGCCTGGTAAAATAAACACTGAAAGAATACCTGCTACCATCTGTGAACTTCGTTTTATTATGCTTTAATCAAAGCATTAAAGTTCAAACCCTAGTGTCCCTTCCAGTTCCCAAATTTCATGCCTGAAAATGAGCACTTATACTCACCTCTATATTATTGTTCATTAGCCCACAAGCATCAGCAAAGTCTGGATGTTTTGTGTTGATATAAGCTAATTCAATTGCCACTAAATTATGGACCTGGAGAAAAAATAAATTTAGGCTAATACACAAAGATATGCCAACCCTAGCTTTATTTTGAGATGTTTATATATAAAACTTACTATACAGACAAAACCGAAAAAGTATAAGAAATGTTTGTAATTAATAACCTAGGCCTAATAATAATCATTAGCTAACTTCTAAATTAATTGCATTTCAGCATTAAAACTGCGTGTCTAAGGAGGAAAAACTGACATTAAGAGAACTTCAAAGTAATTTACTGTAAATGGGAAAAGGTTATCTATCTACTTGATGCAATTTTAAGTTCCAAGGCTTTAATAAACATGTTTGCTATTCAAATTTCAGATCATCCATTACAGGGTGTTAAAAGTTTTATTTAGATCAATTTTAACAAGAAGACAGTTCATAACTGGCATAAGTTAAAGATGCTAACTTGGACACATTTACACCAGAGGTAGCCTTAACCATGAAGTACACAGGTAAAATCTACAGGGCTCAAAATCTAATGAGATAGTAGTGAAAATTAATGGTTCTATTCCTAAGGCTTATAGAGAATAACCTTAAAATATTTACTATTGACAGTGGCTTTCACTGATGCTTTGACACCTGTATACAGTGTGTTTACTACCACCAACTTCTCCTGTGCTTCTCATCTCTTCTTTTCAGGACTCATCCCTCTTGTGCATGGATTAGCAATAAGAGTTTTTTCTGGGACCATATGCATCTTTTTTATTTATCCCCTAGAGTCTTTATATGTTTCTGATCACAGCTTTTCTTTGAAACTTTCTCCCTACTACCAATTCTGAGCAGAAGAAAAACTATCAAAATATTTATCAAGTACTGCATAAACTGCTGGACAATGTGAGCTACTTGTTAACCATCAATGACCATTTATTTGCCAAAATTAGATAGTGTTTCTAGTTGAAGCACTAGACACCGATAAAAAATATGTTGAGAAAAAGATTTCTTTTGCAGTTAGGAATCAAGGTTTTATAACTATCTGTACTGTCTCAGGTATCATATACCACTCACTGATGCAGAGCTGCATGAGAGAGATCTATTCAGTAATTCCATGATGTCAGTGGGTAGTGTGCACCATCAGGCTTAGGTATTTGAATCTGACAGCAATCCTTGCTAAATAAGCAACCAAGCAGCAGCCCATACCTCCACTTCCAAGGACACCCCTTAGTAAACCTCAATCGAGGCTCAGTATCTTGAGCCAAGATCAAATGCCAGGCTCAAAAGTGCCCAGAAAGGAAGGCAAACAACAACCACCCAGCTAATAGAGGTATAAGTGTAATGTCAAATGCTTAGCTCATATTTCTGTCAATTTTAGCCTTTTGCAGGGGCACTAGCCACAGTCCACAGAATAGTAGCAACTGACCACTACCGTTAGGTCATAGAAGAAGCAAACTACAGCAGAAACCAAATTACCCTAACAGTAAAAGTAAGCTTGCTATAATATAAAGGTTTGGTAAATATGAAGAAAATGTACTATATACTATAATTATTAAAAACTATTTAAGTAAGACAAATACTTCTCACAACACATTGGAAACAATACTGGAGTAATCTTAATGCTATATTAAATCAAAGCAACCAAACTAAAGTTTAACTTTTACTAACAGTGATTCAAACAACACAGTAGCTCACCATTTCATTTGTAACAGGCAACCTTTTACGAAGAAGACAAGTCACTACTTCAACTATGGCATCATGAAGTTTAGGAAACCGTAGCAATTCCTATATGTAACAGAAGGTAAAATTGTTACTCTGTTTTGTTTAATAAAAAATTAAGTAGTCACTGAATTAGATTTGGAAGTTACACTTAAGGATACTATTTCAAATCACTTTTAGGTAAGGGAACTAAAAATTTTACTTTTAGCTCACCTTATATATTTCCTTCCATCCTATGAACCCTCCCGCCCCATCTTTTTCTAGTTAATCTAAACTGTTATATCTCTCAGTTACCTGTGTACTGTAATTACTGCAATGCTGAATGATCCTTTGCATTTCCTCATGAACTAGTTCTACACAACGGAGGCTGGGCTCTTCTAGACGTTTGATTTGCCTTTTGACCAGTAACTCAAATGAAACCTCAGGCACAAATAAAGCAGGACGGGGACCCTGAAAAAAGAAGACTCAGCTCTATGTAATTTCAGGTCTTCCCAAAGGCTTAAAATTTTTTTTTTGCTATCTTTCATGAAATGTGTTTCAAGTATGAGAACAAAATAAACTGTCCATCAATATCAAATAAGACACAGTATATGGTGAAATTAATTTTTGGCTTCTTAAGCATACTTACAGTAGCATTTCTGATGGCAGTCAAAATGTCAATAGTGTTAAGGCCACCTAGTGGGTCAACAGATTCTAAGGTTCGCCCAAAAGTCTCATGGAAAATATAACAAATTCTAGCACCCCCGCATCTGAAAGACAATGATATGCGTTATGATAAAGAAGAAAGATACTAGTCACAAGTCTTTCTGCTTTAAGACTTTCATTTTCTGAGAAAGCCCAAAACATTGTATTTTATCCATTCTTATTTCCATGTGTTTTCAACTCGAAATTTCTTAATCCAGTTTCTCTATTTTTAAAATTCTAAGTTGTTTTCATGATTATGTATATTACCTACTATTGTTAATACAGTACAGCTATTCTGACATAAAGCTTCAGTTAGCTAAAACTTGCTGAACAACTTTGGCCTGCCCCCATTCTCTCCAGCTAGCTTATGTGTTCCTCAAGTACAGCAAACTAACTTGTTCCTGTTGATCCACAAAAGCTAAGCCAATTTTTCCTTAAAAGGCCAGATAGTAAAAATATGTATGCTTTTCAGTATTCGTTGCAACTGCTCAAATCTGTCAGTAAGTACACAGACACATATAAACAAATGACTTGAATATAGCTATGCTGCTGTGGTAAAACTCATACATATACTGACATATGAATTTTATTTAATTTCCAAATATCATGAAATGCTGAATTTTCATTTAAAAGGTTTACATTTACAAATGTAAATATCATTCTTGGCTGGTGGCTTGTCTAGTTAAGCTTGACTAGTTAAACAGGAAGGAATGGAACATGGCAAAGAAAGATGAGACCAGAGCAAGACCAAAACCTAGCAGGGTAAGCATCGAATCCTGAGCGCCACTGTCCAGCATCTGGGCTAATGATGGACTCATCTGGGCTCCAAAGGGCTTGGATGACCCTACCCTCCAGCTCTGTTGCTGCAGCTTCTTTGTCAAACAATCAGTGGTTCTGGTACTCTGAGTATCCAGGAACTCTACTGCAACTTGGGCTTCACCCTTACAGCCTCCCCAGGGCCTCTGCTGTATAGGGCTGTCCTCTGACAAGCGCCATCTTCCCGAGCTCAGCTGAGCCCACTTGCCCAAGATCCTCACAGCTCAACTTGTAAACTGTTGAGGACCCCTGAGAGACCAGTCACACTTCCCAACCTGTGATTAGCAACTCTTAACGGCACATGCTCTGGGGCAGGGGCTAGAGTATATAGACTAGGGAAGACTTTCTGGTGCAGTCTTGGAGGGGGGCAGGGGTGAGAGAATCACCTACACTCCTCTTAGTAAACCCTCACCCAGTGCTCTGTAAGTCCAATAAACTCACTGGTTTCCCAGACTACAGTTTGGTGAAATTGTACCTAGGTTTGTCATTGGGACCAAGAGAAGAGGGGGCAGATGCTGCTTACACTTTTACACACACACACACACACACACACACACAATTTTAGCAACAGCCTCCTTGCAGAGAACAATCCTGCCAACATTGGCCTTAGCAGCCCTCTAAAACCTTGGTAAAGCCTCCATGACCCTCATGTTGCATCCATCATACCTATAAATAGTACCACATAGATGCTGCTGCTAAGTTCTGTTACCAGCTGGAAGTATAGCCTGGCCTCTTTGTACCTGCCAGGCTGATGCTGAGGAAACATGTCCCTAAGGCAGCAGTTTACCAGCAGGGACTCCCCTCAATGGCATTCTCCATTTAGGCTCTCTCCTTCCAAATCAATTTGGAATTTTACAACTTGGAGCACTCAGTGGATGGATTCTTGCCCTTAGGGCACATTTTCCTATTCTCCTAATGCAAAGTGGGACTTTCTTCTTTTTTTCCCCCAGTGGACAGCTCCTTTATTATGGCGGAAGCAGAGGTGGGACTTTCTTCTTAATGGCACTTATTTCCTTATCTCTTTAACAGTTACAGCTGTTTTCTCAGCACCAGCTTAGTCTACATTTTTAAATTTTTCTTTCCCCTTCAAATGGCACATTTCTTTCTATCTTCGTGCTCTACTTGTGGGTAAGAGCAATGAGCAGTAACAGCAGAGCCTGGATGCTAGTCTGCCTTGAGATTTTCTTCTCTAACCCTGTTCCTCTTGGAAGTCTCAGGACAGGCCTCCACTCGCTATATCGCTAGGCATTCTGATCTTCTGAGCTCCCACTATGGTGCTTACAGGATTCTTAGACTTTTGTAGCCCAAAGTTCTTAACCATTTGTCTCACAAAACAGTTCCAAACCCCTAAACTCCACATAGGTTTATCACAACAACGGGCCCCCTTCTCCGTGTCAATTCTCTATATGCTTTGTCTCACTTCTGATAATATCCCACCACAAAAGAAGCTTCAGGGAAGGTGGGATTTCTTTTAGCTTACAGTAGAGGGTGTAATACCATGGCATGGAAGACATAACCAGCTGCAGCACTGGCAGCTCATCACATTCAATCAGGAGGCAGAGATAGAAATGCTGGTTCTCAGCTCGCTTTCTCATTTTTTGTTGTCTAGGACCCCTAGCCCAGACAATAAATGATGCTGCTCACATTTAGGGTCTATCTTTCTACCTCAATGAACCCAATCTAAGAATTCCCTTAAACATGCCCAGATGTTTGTTCCCAAGGTGATTCTAGATCTTGTCAAATTGGCAATCAATTATTACCCACCACAAAGGGGTAGGAAAAAATAAAAAGTAACTGCTTATTTGGTACTGATTTCTCAAAGTGATGAGTTTTTGGCAAAAGATACCAGTGATGGTTGTACAACACTGTGAATGTAAATAACACCACTGTGTACCTAAAATTTGTTAAAAGTACCAGCAATGATCTTTGCTTCTAACCTTTCTCTTCTCCAATTATCTATCTACCTGATAAAGTACTTTGTTTTTTATAGTTAGAAGTTCTCTGGTTCTGAGTAAGATCTGCCAAACTTTTCACAATCTTGTTCCTAGACTATCTCCCATGTCCCATCCTTTCAAAACACCTTCTGCATTATTCTTTGCTGTTCTCCAGCCTAAAATGCTCTTTTCTACTGCCTTCCCAAATTCTATTCAGAGCCCAAACCCAACTCAGATGATTTATTTACTATGGAGCTCTATCACTCTCCAAAAGAAATGTTCTAAAAGTTGGGGCTGGAGAGATGGCTTACTGGTTAAGAACACTGGTTGTTCTTACAGAAGACCCGGGTTCAAATCC